AATAATTAAGATATGTTTATGTTTTTGAAAGAAGTCTTTTATGTTTACCAAGACTGCACTTATTTAATAAAATTGAAATAGTATTACAATTTTAAATCAAAATTTGAATATATTTTGAAATATAATTTATTGTGATGCAAAACTAAATTTTCAGCCACCATTACTCCAGTGTTCTAATATGCTGAGTTGCTGCTAAAGAAACATTTCTTGTTGTTATCAATGCTGAAAACAGCCGTGCTGCTTAATATTTATTAATATTATTTAAAATTAAGCATCAGTTCTGCATATTACAATGATTTTTGAAGGATTATGTGAAACTGGAAACTGGAGTAATGATGCTGAAAATTCTAAATTCAAATTGCAATAATATTTCACAATCTTTTCACAGTTTTTGATCAAATAAATGCAGCCTTGGTGAACATAGAAGACTTCTTTCAAAAACATTTTTAAAAAAAAACTCAATTATTCCAAACATTTGACCTGTAGTACATTCCCCCAGATGTATAAGTATGTTTTTAACAAACTCCACTATTCCCTAAAACAAAACTGAATGAAAATGGTAATATAAATGCAAAACTGCATGATAAATTGTAATGAACAAACACATTTTCTTTCTAGCAGTATCTCAACATTTGCTGCTCAGCTTCAGCAACACATAACCAAACGGTGAGGTGAAAAGGTTATGTATTATTACACCATATCTCTATTTAATCAGTAGGGAAAAGCAATCACATTCATTGAATGCTGTATCTGAAGCCGGGGATCAGTCCTGCCTGCCGCTGAAAGCATGTGGGATTTGGCGCTCCGACCTATTTCTCAGAGTCTGATACATATGGTGTGCCGATTTTTGATCCCCACTCAGGCAACCCAACAACAAATGACAAACACATGAACAACAGCAGTCAAGGACATCCAAGATCCCAGTGTGTAATTTGACATGTATGGTATTTTTCCATCTTCAACCGGACAATCACTTCAGGACCGGATACACAAATCTGAATATATTTAAAATATGTAGTAACTATCAAATGATTTATTTTCTCAATCGCTGCAGTATTTGAACAGTAATAAAGAACCGTTTAACAAAAATGAATCACACTTCACAGAAGTGAATCGCTTTTTAAACCCGTGCGAACGAACCGATTCACTAAAATAAATCACTCTTCCCACAGGTGAATCACTCTTTGAACCGTGGGACAGAACCGATTTACTCAAATAAATAACACTTTTCAAATGAGACTCCCTCTTTGGACCACATAAAGGAACTGATTCAGTAAAATAAGTCACACTTCCCACAGGAGAAAGTTTCTGAACTGACTCGAGCCTCTGGATATTAATGGTCAGATTCAGTTCTGTCTTCTGTATGGTTTGATTTTAATGAGATCAGTCGTCCCAGAGTTTAATTAGGCCAGACAGAAACAGCTGCAGGAGGCTGAGCTCACGGCTGCCTTTGGAAACGCAAGCCTCTGCCAGGCCTCAAAATCGCTGTTTAAAAATATCTGACACCCACGTTACCTGACAGTCCCGTCAATAACTGCCATTTATCATCCATATCTGCCTGCTTTCATTTAATTACTGCAATGAATCTAATGCAGGGCTGCAGTCTCGGACCACCCTTATCCATTTACTGTGAGTGTCTCCACAGCTTTGGTTGGTTCTGAAAGCATGCTGCAGATAAAAGAATAATGTTTCTCTTGGTAGAGCAGAGGCCTACAATGTCAGGGTCATGGGTTTGATTCCCAAGTAACACAAATCATGATAAAAATGTTTAACTTGAATCGCCAAAAGTGTCTGCCAATGCATAAATGTAAATGTAAATCTGGATACATTTACATAATAATGGTTCACATGATACACACATACTAAGCAGACACATATTTCATAAAAATCTGCCATAAACATCTCTTCTGCATTGTTATTAAATTAAATCAGCCCCCATTGTTGATCATAGATGTGAAAGTGCACTATCCAAACTTAAATTGTTATAATTCACGAACGCTTTGGAACACAGACCTAAGGTTGGTATCTTTTTAAAGGTGACATTATTGCAGAAGTGGAATCATTTCAAAAAATGAAAGTATGCAAAAGTTATCGAAGTTTAAATTTACTATAAAGAAAATGTACAGTACTACATTTTTTATTTCATATAAAATATTTGACAAAATATGATTTAATCCAAAATTGCTAAAGCATTATGTCTAAATAAGTTAAGTTCTAAATTTGAAGTTGATCCAAAAAAAAAATTAAATTGAGGTTCCGATGAAAATTTGTTTAGGCATTATACCAAAACTAGCCACCGGGTGACACCCAAACGCCATTGAATTTTTTTGAATCATTTTTCTGTCACAAATGTATAAATTTCTCTCTCAATATTACTTCCATCTCAAAATATGGAATCCTGAGACTCAGACATTTCCAACGATATGTATTTTGTCAAGATTATAAAAAGTTTTGATTGTAAAATACGGTAATACATTTTGTAATATGACACTTGACACTGCCCATGGGGGAGGAGACCGCCTTTAAAGTACCATTTCCATGATAACACAATGTCTGATTTCAAAATGCAAGCATAGGATTAATTTTGAGGTTTTAAACATTCAAATGATATATAATTTATGATGATTACTAAAAGATGTGATGGGGACAAAAGACAACAAAAAAAGAGCACCAAGCGTCCCAGCAGGGTGATGAACATAATAAAATAATCAATATACCTTCACAAAGTGTATTAGAAAAGGCAATCAAATGTAAAATAATGTAAATTCAAATTATTATACAAAAGGCAGTCATAGGGGAATTACATTTGTAAACTGTAAAAATAGGTCTGTAAATTGGGATCTTGCATTCTAAAAACTTAAACTATGATTCATTTTTTCAATCAATCACTTAAAAATGTAAAAACAAAAGTAAAAACTTGTTCTTGACTTAAGATGAAGAATATTGATATGAAATGAGTAATAATTGTAGTTCTTGAAACTGATCAGTATATTTTCTCCATTCTGAAATGTTTTGAGTGAAATTTAACAAAAATATTGTATGTTATACTAAAAATGTCTTTATTTTCAAACAAACAAACAATAAAAAACAAAAAATCCTGAAATAATAGACGTACATTTTAGACAAAACTAACTGCTGGATTTTAGGCATTTATTTCAGTATGTCCAACTTAAACAATCACCTAAGTGAAATTCATAAATTTTATTAAGGTAGTAGTGTTATCTATTTAATAATCTTGCATGTTAGTTGCACTTAAAGGAATAGTTTTAATAAATGAATAAAAAATGAATGTTCTAATACATTTACTCACCCTCAGGCCATCCTAGATGTAACTAAGTTTATCTCTTTATCAGAACAGATTTGGAGAAATTTAGATTACATCACTTGCTCACCAGTGGATCCTCTGCAGTGAATGGGTGCCGTCAGAATGAGAGTCCAAACAGCTGATAAAAACATCACAATAATCTACAGCACTCCAGTCCATCAATTAACAAGATGTCATTCTGACGGCACCCATTCACTGTATAAGATCCATTGGTGAGCAAGTGAAGTAATGCTAAATTTCTGCAAATCTGTTACGACAAACTCATCTTCATCTTGGATGGCCTGAGGGTGAGTAAATTTTCAGCAAATTTTCATTTTGGGTATTCCTTTAGGCTATTCCTTTAAATGCAGTGATCACATGTGCTCCCTCAGTTTGAACAGGCATGACACTTCCAAAACCATCGGTTTGGCTGTGCCAGAGACATGTTTGAACAGATCCTGATGATTGACACCCTGAGAAATCATCCTTCTGCAGTGTTTGCCGGTGGTATCGTTCAGTGATTGCAGTGAATGACAGACAGAGAGCCACGCTTGCGATCACGTGACAGTACACCTGCTGTCTGAGGCACAGCGTAAAGGCGTACGTTTCCTGTCACTCGATGTCATTGTTGTTTTATTTTCCTCAGTCTTGAACATGTACATTTGTTCTGTTTAGCATGGCCTACCTCATCTAAAAAGCAAACAATCTGACACAAACTGAGGTCGCTCACAGGCTGAACTTCAGAGTCTGTTCAATATGGATGCTGGACTCTGATGTAACCTGTGGTGAAAGCAAGGATGCATAAAATCATAATTTACATACATCTGCAACAGAAGCATTGCCCTTAGAATGACTACCAGCGCTGTATACATTATTAAACTCTGAACTGGACCTATATCCAGGACCTAGAAAGGGTCAGTTTCCTGTGGCGTGCAATTGAATTGCGTTGAATTGACTCACACTCATGAATAACCTTGCAGTGTGGGTACTGACCTTTATAATGACCTTTATTTCAGCTGTCACAATAAATATTCTCTTATAGTGCCTCAACTGCCACAACATCTCCACTTGTCCTGTATGCCCTTCTGCTAGTGTAATATAAAATGTGGATTTATATGGTTAGATGTGTAAATGTCACACAGCGCCTCCTACAGGACAGATGTTTAGTTGCAAGACTTTTAGTATTAATGTGGTGCATCCGTTTAGATTCATCTCAGCCCAAAAACCTTTAGGAAAAAACACTGTACTTCCTATAAACTATTCTAAGGGACATCCATTTGTTATGAAGGTCACATTAAAACTGAGTTGGAAACCGTTAAGCTTATATATTTGCTATTTTCTGCCTTTTGTGTAGACCTTATTCATTTATAGTTCATATTTTTATAGTGTGTCATTTGCAGTTGTGTATGATATTACGTAATATTGTATCGTTTTCCAATCTAGGTTAGAAACTCATTGTGTAGGCCTACTATAAATATTGTTATTATATAAATAAATTGTTATCTATGAAACTTTGTTGTTTCCTGTTGAAGGCACAGTGTATAATAATATGATACAAACATATGGTATTATAGTAATTTAGCATATGGATAGCAATAGCATACCCATTTTCTTAAACGTGTTCACATCGCAAATCGCATCTTTAACGGAAAGCGTTTGGTTCCTCATGGTTTCCCTTCAATGCGGAAGTGTCTCCATGCTCATTCATACAAATGTAAAATCATGCGTTACCTGTCCTGTGGGTGAAGTGCACTCAAAACTGTCAGAAGATGTTGAGCAGAAGAACAAACGGGCGAGAAGATGCGGACAGTGTTAAACCTGATCGAAAGAAGGTGATGAAACGCTGTGAGCTCTGTTAACTTACTCAAGGACTGAATGTGTGTTTTTACCAACAAAACTGTAGGTATCATGGCAATGCCATCTTCTGGACTATACAGTATAAAAAAAATTCCGTAAAGTTGACGGTAAAAAAAAATTCCGGCAGATGTGGTTGCCGGAATTTTACCGTAAAAAATACGGTAGTGACGTTTTACGTTTTATGGTTTTAACTTAAATTTACAGTTAAATACTGTAATTTCATTAACTGATATAATGTTAATATACCAACCTATTAAAGTACTGAAATCTGCAGGTGGTGCAGATGGTGATGAGAAAGTCACATGATGAACCAAAGCCCATAGCAAGCAGCTTTTAAACAATAACATATATAGAAGGTGCACAGTGTCATTTACACAAAAACTTAACACCATCATGGTAACACACATGAAACTGAAATAATGCAATAAACATTCATTTAACAACATTAGGTGTAAGACACAACCCTAATATACAAAACTAAGAAGAAACATAGTTATTTCAACAAAAAAACATCAAATTTGAAATGTAACGCAGGGAATTCTTGGAATGTCAATTTACGGTTATTCACTGTAAATTATACAGTCTTTTTCACTTCCAAAAACGGTATATTACCATAAAATTAATGTCCAATACATGTAATGTCCAATACAGTTTTTCACCGTATATAGTAGGGGAATTTACCGTTAACCATTTAACAGGATTTTACTGTAGCATTTTTACAGTCTTTTACCATTAAATTTACGGTAATTTTTTTACAGTGTAGTATTACTATGGTACATTTTTCTAAGCACACAGTGAATAAGAATCGATGAAAGAATCATAGTATTCCTATTTGTTAACTTTTCATTGTGCCATTTTTTTTAGTAAATACCCTGCTCTGACATAGTTTATTCTAAATTATGTAATAATAATAATAAAAATAATAATAGTTTAATTATAATACGTAATGAATAAACAAACACTTTGGGAATAAATTAAAATAAAATAATTTGAAACTGTGGCTGCATGTTTGCAAAATTAAACAAAAATAAGTATGTTGCCAAGGCTGTTGTTGGATTTTGAAACGGATAGAAGGGTTATTGGATGATGCAAATAATATAAAATGGCCGATATGTTGGTGTATCAGTATAAAAACTGTATGTATATAATAAAAATGATACAATATTTGAAAAAATATACTTTAGTTGGATTATACCATGTCCCTGGACACTGTTGTCACTGCTTGACATGTAATTTCAACTCCGTCACAGACTTCAGAGGACTCTGGGGTGACTGTGTCTCAGAGGAGCTGCTGGACTGTTGTGTCCTTCTGGTTGAAGGTTCTGCTCTTCATCATCTTCACTCCAGCTTTCCTGAACTACGCCTCCCTGCAGAGAGAGGGACAAGTGCTGTCATCCGCAGGTGAGACCTCATCATCTCTTCAGGAAGACTTTAGGATCATGTGCAGTTTGACAACTTTTCATCTCATTTGATTTAATATTTCTTTCTATATGTAGGTGCTCAGCTGATTGATATCGGCCTCGGCCAAAAGATCTATCTGTTGTGCAAAGGACACGGGCAACCTGTTGGTAGGTTAAAAGAATAGCTCATCTAAAATCTGATATTTATATTGTGGGTTGTACACAGTGAAAACGATGTTTCATTTTTGTTTCAGTTGTTCTTGATGCTCCAGCAGGGATGTCTTCAGATGTTTGGTATTATGTGCAGGAGAGTCTCTCATTATCGACAAAAGTTAGTTCAAACAAACTGCCACCAAGAGTACGTGATGTTTGAAAACTGGACATTAAAAAAAAAATATATATATATATATATATACAGTGGGTACGGAAAGTATTCAGACCCCCTTAAATTTTTCACTCTTTGTTATATTGCAGCCATTTGCTAAAATCATTTAAGTTAATTTTTTTCCTCATTAATGTACACACAGCACCCCATATTGACAGAAAAACACAGAATTGTTGACATTTTTGCAGATGTATTAAAAAAGAAAAACTGAAATATCACATGGTCCTAAGTATTCAGACCCTTTGCTCAGTATATAGTAGAAGCTCCCTTTTGATCTAATACAGCCATGAGTCTTATTGGGAAAGATGCAACAAGTTTTTCACACATGGATTTGGGGATCCTCTGCCATTCCTCCAAGTTGCAGATCCTCTCCAGTTCTGTCAGGTTGGATGGTAAACGTTGGTGGACAGCCATTTTTAGGACCCCCCAGAGATGCTCAATTGGGTTTAAGTCAGGGCTCTGGCTGGGCCATTCAAGAACAGTCACAGAGTTGTTGTGAAGCCACTCCTTCATTATTTTAGCTGTGTGCTTAGGGTCATTGTCTTGTTGGAAGGTAAACCTTCAGCCCAGTCTGAGGTCCTGAGCACTCGAGAAGGTTTTCGTCCAGGATATCCCTGTACTTGGCCGCATTCATCTTTCCCTCAATTGCAACCAGTCGTCCTGTCCCTGCAGCTGAAAAACACCCCCACAGCATGATGCTGCCACCACCATGCTTCACTGTTGGGACTGTACTGGACAGGTGATG